CTTAGTGGTTGAAGACCAGTTCTTAGATGACGTCACTGACTGTGAAAGAGTGAAAGAATCATGGGATACTTTAAAAGACATCCATACAAAATTCGGACTCTTGGACTATCTGCAACTTTTAAAGAAATTTTTTAATGTAACTTTAAAATCAGGAGAAAGCGTTAATTCTGAGTCGATTGATGGACCTTCACCGAAAGGTATCGTCTTGCAGACACGGACTTGTGGACAGAGAAGTTGCCCTCGGTATGTTAATGGGTTTGCCCAAGGAGTATGAAGGCCTTATTCTCAATTTAGAATGTGAAGAAGGTATGTTGTCAGCTCAAATCGTAGAATCGCGTCTCAGCGTTGAAGAGAAAAAGTTACTGCGCTACACAGAAGTGAAAACAGAAGTTGCTACCAGTGAGGTCATAGGAGAGAAAGCCCTCAAAACTCGAGATAAGTACAGAACTAAAACTATGCAGCCATTACAGAAACAGCATAAAAATACTGACAGAAAAACCCGTTGCTTTTCTTGTGGGGAGTGGGGTGATATTGCCAAAAATTGCTCTGCTTCTAAAACCCCACATGCAAAAATGGTTTCTGATGAAGTATATCAAGCAGAGTTTGCTGATTTTTGCGGTGGGAAACCTGCATGTGATTGGTACCTTGATAGCAGAGCCACTGAACATATGTGTTTTCAAGAGCAAAAATTAATGAATTTAGCTTCAGTGAAATCACAATTTGAGACAGCAATTCTGAAAATATTGAAGATTCTGGCATGGGAGACATTGTTTCGAATCCTGTTAGAGAATGTGGGAAAGATGCTATTCATCTAGCAAATGTTCTGTATGCCCCTAATCTTGATGGTAACCTTCTTTCAGCGGAAAGAATAGAAGAAATGGGAATGACTGTTTCCTTTGAGAGGGGCAAAGCAATCATAAAATATCCAAGACAACAAGATAAGGTCATTCTCACTGCACATAGGTATGAAAGTTTATACAAAATTGAAGAGAAGCAAATGCACAAATTATACCTTTCCAGACATGAAGAAATTATGCATCGAAGATTAGGACATTTCCACCATGACGTATTTAAGAAACTTATGAAAAGGTATGATTCGAATATGATGTGTGAAGAAATCTAAGAAAAAGGGGACTGTTTGCTCAATATGCATTTTGGGGAAAATGAAGAAGACTTCATTTCCCAAAGGAAAAAGGCCAAACATTCAACTAGATTACTTCAGTTGATACATACTGATGTAATTGGAACTATCACACATACATCAAAAGGTGGATCAAAGGTATGTTGTTAATTTTGTTGATGACTACTGAAGGTATGCTGTGGTTAAAACTATGAAATCTAAAGATCAAGTCCTTGAAAAATTCATGGAATATAAAACAAATGTTGAAAATTTCCATGGACTCAAAATCACTACTCTACGAAGCGACAATGAGGGGAATATGTCAACAATGAATTTGATGATTTCCTAATTAAAAATGGAATAACAAGACAACTCCCAGTTCCCCGGACACCCCAACAAAATGGAGTTGCAGAAAAAATGAACTATACTCTATTTGATATGACTAGATGTCTTCTCCTAGATTCCAGCATCCCACAAGAATTGTGGACAGATGATGTGGCTGCTGGCTGTTATTTGCGCAACAAGTGTCTATCAAAAGCTATCAAAGGAAACATACTTGAAGAACTCTGGACCAAGAAGCCTGTGCAAATTAGACTCCTGAGAATATTTGGCTGTCGAGTTTTTGCTCAAATTTATAAAATGTTGCAGAAAGGAAAGCTAGGGAAGCGTGCTAAAGAATGTGCCTTTACAGGATATCCCAAAGGTGTGAAAGGATAGAAACTATAGAATTTCAGAGGAAGATAAGTTTTTAGTGAGCAGAAAAGTTAAATTTGATGAGACCGTTTTTCCACTGAGGAGGAGCCAGACAGCTACTCAAGCAAAGAAGGAAAATGAAGTGACCTTTTAACTTAAATCGTGAGTACAATTCCGAGAGTGAAGTAAATGTTGTTCCATTAGAAGTAACCATCAGTTGCACCGCCAGAGGAGTCGAAGATGTTGAAACCCCATTAAATGACAAAGCAGAAGAAATTAGAGAAGACACAGAATCAGCATTCCAGGAAGATTCTGATAGTAGTAAGGAAGATCCTATTGGAATGGGGAAAAGCACTAGAGAAAGGAGACCTAAGACTTACTACGGGGATCCAGTGTTATATAAAGCTGTTTGTGAAGAACAACCTGCCAACAAAATTTGTAAGAACCCAACAAGTGTACAAGAAGCAATGAATTCACCAAATGCAGAGATGTGGAAAGAGGCCATGAAGGAAGAATTGTCTAATTTGTACGAAAACCAGACATGGGGATTGGTTCAAAAGCCAGCTGGCATCAAACCCATAGGATGCAAGTGGATATTCAAAGAAAAACAAAATGTAGAAGGAGAAATAATCAAATTTAAAGCTCGATTAGTAGCTAAAGGCTACTCACAAGTCCCTGGTAGTGATTTTTCAGACTTTCTCCCATTCTGCAAAGATAAAATCCATACGAATCCTTCTAGCCCTTGCTGTTGAGTTACAAATGGAAATTCATCAAATGGACATCACTGCTGCTTATCTAAATGGCTTACTCAAGGAAGATGTATACCTGAAGAATCTCAAGAGCAAAGTAAAGAGCATCTAGTGTGCCATTTAAAGAAAAGCTTGTATGGCTTAAAGCAAACAGGAAGACAATGGAATGAATGCTTTACTTTCTTGAAGAATTGTGGACTGTCACGCTCAAAATGTGATCCATGCATTTATTACCATTCAAACAAAGCATTATATCTTGGTATCTATGTAGATGTTAATTGTTGGGACCCTAGAGGAATAACCACATTTAGGCATAAAGTTGTGCAAAGATTCAAAGCGAGAGACCTTGGTGAAGCAAATGAAATACTATCTATGAGGATCCAGAAGCATACTGATGGCACTTTAACATTAGAAGCATTATATCTTAGTATCTATGTAGATGTTAATTGTTGGGACCCTAGAGGAAATAACCACATTTAGGTATAAAGTTGTGCAAAGATTCAAAGCGAGAGACCTTGGTGAAGCAAATGAAATACTATCTATGAGGATCCAGAAGCATACTGATGGCACCTTAACATCAGATCAAACAGCTTACATAGACGAAATTTTGGAAGAGTTCAAATTATAATCAGTCAGGAGAGCATCAACACCCATGGATCCCACTGTAAAACACCAAAAGATAGATAATGAAAAGTGGAGATGTATAAAAGCAGAAAGTGACCAAATTCCATATAGGCAAGCCATAGGTAGCCTATTATACCTTGCTTGCGGAACACATCCTGATATTGTATTTAGTGCAACCTATATGAGCCAGTTTAATGAGAGGCCATCTGAATTTCACTGGAGGAGTGTTAAACATCTTTTCCGCTATCTTAAAGAGACCAAACATCTATCTCTTACATTCAGAAAGACAGGAAGAGCCCTTGAAACATTCTCTGATGCTGACAAGGTCGACAGAAAGTCCTTCAGTGGATATGTTCTGATCTTAGGTGGTGCTGAAATATCTTGGTGCAGTAAGAAGCAGTCTACTGTTGCTCTATCGTCGGCTGAAGCCGAATATGTGGCTGCTGGACTTGCTACAAAGGAAGTTTTATGAATAAGGGGGCTGTTGAAGGAACTGGAGATGTTGAAATTTATCCCATCGCTTTCAGTTATAAAAGTAGACAACCAAGCAGCTATGTTCATTGCACAAAACCAAACTATATCTGAACACAGTAAGCACATGGACATCAAGCATCACTTCATACGTGACTTTACTGAACAAGGTGTGATTAAATTGGAATAACGTAAATTCCAAGGAAAACCTAGCTGATCTTCTAACTAAAAGCATTTAAAGACAATATTAACCAACTTGAGAAAATATTTAGGTTTTCACAAATAGCCCTCCCATGTGTAATATAAAAGGTGCCTGTGTATGCTCATAAGTTTGTGCCACTTGTAAGTTTCTTTTACCAATTTTTTATTGATCAGTTATGAAGAGTTACTGTAAGTTCATTTTTTTTAAATCTTTCATTTTTGAAGGTTGTTTTTAATAAATTTAAGTGAAAATTTTTTTAGCCATATTTTGGCAAGGAGGAGTGTTAGAAATAAAGTTTATTTTATTTTTATGATGTTGTATCTGCCAAAGCAATGCTATAATTATAGACTCTATGTTCTTTAATATTTATGTGTAGCTCTTTTTGTATTTTCTGAATGACAACAGTTAGTTAAACAAGTAAATAAACATGCAACATACATTTGTGGTTTGCATATTTCTTTCTACTTTATTTCAGAAATATATCTGCCATTTAAGTGATTTCTATCAAACAATGTGATAAAATTACTTAAATGGCAGATATCTTTTATAAATATAGTAGAAAGAAATAAGTAAACCCCAGCATACCTTGAGTCATCAACAAAGGTAAAGGTAACGTACTTTGATCAACCTTTTGATGTATGTGTGATAGGTCCAATTACATCAGTATGTATCAACTGAAGTAATCTAGTTGAACATTCGGCCTTTTTCCTTGGGATATATTTTCAGGTATATATTGTGTGTTTGCTTCTCCTTCAATTTTATATAATCTTCCATACTTATGTGCAGTGAGAATGACCTTATCTCGTTTATGATTGCTTTGTCCCTCTCAAATGAAACACTCATTCCCATTTCTTATAATCTTTCCACTAAAAGAAGGTTACCATCAAGATTAGGGACATACAAGGCATTTGCTAGATGAATAGCATCTTTCGCACATTCTCTGACAGGATTATAACATATAATAACAAGATTTTATCATATTAGTGCAACAGTCTCAAAATATACTGAAGCTAGCGGATTAATAACAGAAAAAGTTTAAAAATTAAGATAACAATGCAAATAAAAAGCACAATAAACATTTTAACAGTTTATTAACTTTCTAAGAAGAAACCACAAACGAAAATAACAGGATTAAACATACCATACATATTGCCCAAAATCCTGATCTTCACAAAATCACAGTGATTTAGAACATTTTCTTCTTATAATACTACATAACCAAAAAAGAATACATTAATACATCATGATAAACTGATTAGCACACAGGATATTTAATTAGAAGCATCAGCTTTTTAAACTACAATTAAACATCTATATGCACTTTCTAGAATTTAGAAAATATGTAAAATTTAGCAAAGTTTAGGTTTTGCAATAGCTGAATGCTTATCAATAACTAATCTTATTTGCATGTTTTTTGTTTTGCCTTTACAGACAGACTAAATATCATTCTATAAATACACATATTAAAAAATATTACATATTCTATCACGACTACATTTATCACTTTTGATGCTAGTAATTTCAAGGAATATCAAAATTATTTCCTATCTTTCAGAATTGAATAAACTGATCAAACATCTTATAGCCTACATACTATAAGATAATATTAAGTAAAGCGTTCTTTAAGTAGATCAAATTAAGCCTTTTTATAATTACATAAATCCCATTTTTACACTATAGGTAATAAACGATTCACTTTCTCACTAAATCATTCTGAACTGCATGAAATTAATCTATATCATATTATTCTAGCATAACCTCAAAAATGAAATATATTTGGCCTAGTCTCTCTATGCATCAACGCTGCTTTATGTTCCCATCATAAATTTTTAAATGACAATATCAAAATCGATTGCTCAAAGCAGAAGTTGAAACTTTCAGATGCACGTTTTATTCAAGGTAATTACCTCTCTAAACACCGATAGTATCCCGCCACCATCTTTGGCAGAGGCCCTGACTTAATTATTTCAGAACTCATTAAAAGTGCTGCAGGTCAAAACACTGAGGAAATACACCACCTCATCGAATCAGTTTGCAACCAAGAAGTTTTACCCGAAGATTGGAAACTGAGCATCATCTGTCCTATACATAAAAAAGGAGACATTTTGGAATATACCAACTACAGGGGAATCAGTCTCCTTTGTGTTTTCTACAAATTATTTCACAATATACTTTTTAATAGACTTATACAGAAAATATTGTGAGTGATAACCAACGTGGTTTCCGCAAAGGAAGATCTACAGCAGAACAAATCTTTAATATTAGACAAATTTTGGAAAAAGCAAACGAATATGGCATTGCAATGCACCATCTTTTTGTTGATTTTAAGACTGCCTATGATTCAATAAACAGAAAATATTTAATTGAAGCTATGAGAGAATTTGCAATACCTGAAAAACTTATAAATTTGGTCACCATTACTCTTATTGAGACAAAACTTAGGGTTAAAATAAAGAATAATCTTTCTGAGCCTATTGTTGTTTCAAGTGGGCTCAGACAGGGTGATGCCCTGGCCTGCTTGCTTTTAAACCTTGCCCTCCAAAAAATCATAAAAGACTCCAACATTAATACTCGTGGAACTATCTTTAACAAATATGTTCAGATTTTTGCGTTTGCTGACGATATTGACATAGTTGCGCAGTCCCAAGCCACTTAGAGAGGCTTTTACATCTCTAGAGGCTTCAGCCAGCAAAATGCATCTAGCAATCAACCAAAATAAAACTAAATACATACCATGTGGTAATAACCGCCATCTCCATTTTGAAATTGGGAATTACAAATTTGAAACTGTTAGCAAATTTAAATATTTAGGATCAGAGGTTAATACTCTCAATGATTTAATGCCCGAGATCCGTAGTAGAGTCATGGATGCTAACCAATGTTTTTCGGTCTAAAAAAATACTTAAAGTCTAACTTCATTAGCAGAAAAACAAAGATTTTAATTTACAAAAGCTTAATTAGACCCATTCTTGCATACTCTGCTGAGACCTGGGCAATGACAGAAAAAGCTAAAATTATTATTTCTGTCTTTGAAAGAAAAATTTTGAGAAGTATTTTTGGTGGCATAAAATGTAACAATATCTGGACTCTATAAATGGTTTAAAGAAATAGATATAGTAAAATATATAAGGATTCAGAGAATTAAATGGGCAGGACACCTGTGCAGAATGGATGAAATAGGAGTAACTAAAAAGATCTTCTTAGCCAGATCATTCGGCACCCAAAAAAGACAGAGACCTTAACTTAGGTGGCTCGACTGTTTGGAAACAGACTTAAGAATTTTAAAAATAACCAATTGGATGTCCATGGACAGGGATAGAAGAGCTTGGAATTTGATTCTGAGGAAAGCAAGGGCCCATCCTGGGCTGTCTGGCCATTGAAGAAGATAATTACTTACTCCCTCTAATTAATTCATATCAATCCTTGAAAACAATAAAAAGCTAAACGTTCTTCCTTAACTACCATTATGCTGTTCAGAGAAATTTATTTTAACAAGATACTGTTTTTAAGGTAGAAAGTAAAAAACAAATTAAAATGGAAATTGAAGGATACTTTCAAATTCAAATTATTATTTTAGCTTAACCTATTTTATACATGAAAAATAAACAAAACAAATTAATAATTAAAACCAAATAGCAAATAACTTACACTAGTTGTAAGCAATAGGTAATTGTTACACTCGAAATGTTCAAGGGTTTGCTCACAAAATGGCGCAGAAAAAACTATTTTCTGAATTAAAATTAAAGTATGGCTGCAGTTTAACAGTTTAGGCATATTTCACTAAGCATGCATATTTAATTACTTAAAATTCATATACTTATAGACTGCACATATACTGTCAAAGGATTTAACTCTCAGTAAAAGGACTAATAAAAAATAAATCCACGAAACTGAAATAATTAAAAAGAATTATTAGATAACAACCCATTTAAGATTAAGCCCTGTGCAGGAAATTAAAATTAATTTCATTAGCCATTAAACGATTTCATCATCAATATGAACTAATCTGAGCCAAATCTTCATTCAAACTTCAATATTCATCTCCGAAATGACTACTGATATTATCATCAATAATTAGATAAAGTTATGCAGAATAAATAAAAGATTGCATAATGCATAAAATATCAATTATTTGATATGGTGGCTTTTTCAAGTCTTGACAATATTACACTCAAATTTAGGAAATAAATTTATATGATCATTTCTGAAATTCTTTACTAATATACACATTTCCAAAGTAATTTACTATCTAACAGATGTGAAGATTTTTATTATAAATCAACTGTTCAAATTAAAAGTGAAAACTTTCAGCTATAAATTAGAGAAAATCACTTATTACTGCCTTCTAATTAATACATTTCATACAAATATTAATTCTATATAAATATAACAGCACCTTGTAAAAAACTTTAATCTTTTCCACACTGCAGACCTGCATATACTTGTGTTAAAATTACTCCAAAGGTACTATGAATTAGTACATAGATCAGAGGTCAGCAAATTCTTTACAAAATTTCCGATACTACTGTAAAAAAAAACAGACACATCTATTAAGTGTTTGAATATTGATAACTGTTAAATTCATTCATTTTAAATCTAATGTACCTTTTTTAATACAGTCAAAAGTTGTTAATTTGGACACCCATAATCCGGAATGATCTATAATCCGGACCTCAAAGCTACAAACTTTCTGAGCATGCGTCATTTACGCGTGTGCATGTATATAGCCCGTCAAAGAGCAAAATCTTTAAATATCTCTGTAGGAACTGTGAACAAATTATAAAATCTGATTTTAAGCTGATCAAAACAAAACAAAACAAAACAAAAAAAAAAAAAAAAAAAAAAAAAAAAAAAAAAAAAACATGATGTTCATGGCATAACACCTAAACATGATTCTCAGCGTAAGACTACGCGCAGATTGCTGTATGAAAATTATTCAGCAGGAGGTGTAAAATGGAAATGATTAGTTAGAAATGATGAGGCTTTGATATACTTACTTGGAATAGAAAAAGGTCTTTTTACTACCGAAAAAGAGGAGAAAAGGACTAACCTGTTGGTTTAGAAAAACAAGGAAAGTTTTTCTAAATGTTTTATGGTTATGACTGGATTCTCTTACAATGGAAAACTGAAAAACAAGGAAAGTAAAAAAAAATGTCAAAATTAGTTCGGATTAGTATTAAGTATGTTTTAACACCTATTTTTCTCCTATTTTAAAAAAAAAAAAATCCATCTCTTTACCTAAACAATCTTCATTGTGTTAACTTCCATGAGCATAAGGCAAGAAGCCATACCTCTCTATCAACTGCTCTATTTTTTGAACAAATGAGAAATGAAACTGGTATTGAAGCTTTTTCCTTTAAATGCATCCCACCCAAGTCCACTGGTGTATCTCCTATGGATTACTGTATATTTGAACTTTTAAAACAAGCTCTTTATAAGCGGCACCTCGCCACATTGGATGGACTCTGGAAGATTATGAAGGAGGAGTGGAATAAAATCAACCTTAACATTTAAAAAAAAATGACTTTTATCTTCGAAATCAAGATATAATATGATAGTTGAACAAAAAGGCTACCAGACTAAACATATTACAAAATAAAATTCTAAGGTTTGTTTATGTATAAATCTTTGCAAAATCATTACAAAATTGTGTGAGCACCCTCTGTATTTTAGCCAGTGTGACCACTTTTAGTAAATTCTATTCTAGATATAATCCTAACAAATTTGTAGTATTCTAGTTTGCCGAAAACAAATCTCGGTACTTTTCCGTTTCGCCGGTGCAAGTCTCGCCAAACAGACTTTATTGGCGACAACATACGGTATACACACAAAAAATGTTAACAAATGTTAGTACCAAGAATTTTTTATTTTGAAGGCATTAATATTTTAATATCATTTAAAATTTTGTCAAAAACCAATAAATTTATAAAAAGATATTAATTTAAGAATTTACTATGCTTTCATGGTTCAACATCCTGATTTGCCGGTTCGTATCACGTGACACCAAGTGATTTCCTCTCATGTAAACTACACTACAAAAATCTAATTCTCTCAGTAATTATCTACATTAATTTCATGTTAAATCTTAATTTGGAATACAAATTTAAATGCACGAATTATTTGATTTCGTACGAATAGCTTACTCAGAAATTATGTAAAACCGCAGTGCTTTACTTCGCTAGTGCATTCTCATTAGAATTGATGAATGTAACCCTTGATATTGCCGTTTCTATATTTTCACCTTCGGGTAAGCGGTGTGATTGCTGACTTAATTACGCGAATGACCTTAGGGCATAAAATTAAACTATCTTGTAATCATTCTGTGTAACTGTATGCCAGTATTGAAAGAAACAATCAGTCTGATAAGAAATGGCTGCAGCTTGTTTTGAAAATGAGGCGTAAAAGATTACCAGCGAGGATATTCGTTTGGCATCAGTTGTACCATTATTGGCAACTTTATTGCCTGCACCGGCAAAACAGAAAAGTGCCAAAATCTGTTACTTCCCTATTTTTAATACTAACAATATTAATAACACTAACAAAGTGGGAATTAGAATAATTGAGATCAAATGTTATTTTCTTTTCCCAATTACTCATATATTATATTCAATAACAGAAGCATGATTTCGTCTTCCTTTCTTGCTGTTCATGCATTGTAAGGTAATTAGAATAATGGAAACAACTCAAAGTAAAAACTGTAATATTATTAACTAACTTTTATTGAGACGTATCATTATTTGTACCTTATTCAGTATAATCAATATTATATATGACTTTCAATCTGTTAGTTGCTGTTACAGTTCACTTAAAAATAGGATACATGGCATTTCTTTACTGGAAAAATCGCATTTAGTTTAGATTGTTTTTACAGTATAATACCACTTATGGTGAATTTTATAAAGTCATTGAAGAGGCTATTTCTGATAGTTTGATAGAGAATGCAAATTGGATACTTTCCGATTATTCACATACCTCACTCAAAAGTCCATGAACTTTGTGGAGCTTTTGGAGAGCATTTGCAAAATGACTGGCAAGTAATTTTTCGATGAGCTAATACACATAACTTCTAAATATATAATGTGTTTAGAAGAAAAATGGTAGTTGGAAAAAATACACTTCTAAATAATAAACCCTTACAACACAAAAGAAGGGAAAAAATAAAGCCAAAAGTACAAAGAAAAGTGTGACCTATGAAATTTTATGACAAAGTAAACTACTAGGTCTGGGTGCCTAAGAGGAGTGATGTGCTTGTGGAGCACTTTCTAAGGGAAACTAGGTTGTATACAATCCAATTTTCTGTGAATAGGATTGCCAGTAAACTTAAACAATTATATTAATTTTCAGACATTAAATGATAAGTGAGCAATGCAACATTTAATATTTAATAATTTGCAAATGGCATTATTTAATATTTTACAATTTGTGATTGGCGACACTTTTCAGTACATGTAAAAAATAGAACTATGCTGGTGTTGCAGTTCTCTATAATATATAATATCCTATGATTATAAATAAATAGTTTAATAAAACTGCACCCTCTTTATTTTATATGGTGTTAGGAGGGTTTTTCCTTTCAAAATGGAAAGTTTAAAACCTCCAGAGCCAAAGAAATTTGATGGAAATCGTGCTTCAAACTGCCAAAGATGGCTGCAATCATTCGAAATATATGAAGTAGCTAGTGGATTACATAACAATGAAGAGAAGAAACATATTTCTTACAGAAGGTGAAGAAATTAAATTATATGAAATTAAGAAACAATTTGCAGAATTTTCCGTATACCTAAGAAAAAATTAAATATGAAGGACATTTATTCTTTACTATAAATCAAACTGTGTCAGAAACCATAGATGGGTATGTAACTGACCTTGGAAATAAAGCTAGAACAAGTGAGTTTGCACAGATAACGGACAATCTAATAAAGGATAAAATTGCTTGTGGTATTAAAGATAATCTAGTGAGAGCAAGAATATTATACAAAAAATTTAACACTAGAAAAAGCTCTGGATATATGCAGATCTGCAAAAAAAGTACACATCAAATCAAAATCGTAAACTATGAGGAAACAGTTGTAAACTCAGCGAAAAAGAAACTAAGTAAACATAACAAGAATACATTCACTAGGGGTTACTAATGAGAAACAAGAGATAAAATTTTGTTCAAAATGTGGAACACCTCATGAGTATCGAAAGTGTCCAGCATATGGAAAAATTTGTCATAAGCCTAAAAAGGCAAATAAGTGTAAAAGCTATATAATAAAAAATGAAGCAGTCAAGGAAAACAAAAAAGAAAAACAAATTAAATTAATAAATCATGGGAATTTTATGTAGTTAGGAAGAGTTAGAATTTTATGTAGGTACATTTAACATTAGTGTAGATAACAAAGAAAAATGGACTGTTGACATTAATGTAATAGAAAAAATAATTGGATATGGAATATATCCCACTAATGGAAAAATAATTACATGTTGTAGAATACTAAGTTACTGACAAAGAAGTACCTTCTATATTAGGATTAAAATCATGTCTGCAACTAGGTTTGATTCAAAACGTAATTTATGTATATACTGAAGACTTACTGGAGGAATACAAAAATGTATTTGAAGGCTGAGGCTGTTTGAATGGAGTCTATAAAATACAGTTAAAACACGATGCAACACCAGTAATTCATCCTCCAAGAAAGACAGCCATAGCTATATGAGATAAACTGAAAACAGAATTACAAAGAATCGAAAATTTAAATGTTATTGAGAAAGTAAAGAGAACCAACTCAATGGGTAAATTCAACGGTCACTGTTGTCAAACCTAACAAAAAGACGCATGTGTTTAGACCATACAGATTTAAATAATGCAATAAAAGAAGAACATTACCTTATGATATTCATAGATGAAGTTGTCACTACAATGCCAAACACAAAGGTACTTTCTCTTTTAGATGCTAATAGTGTTTTTTGGCAAATCCAGCTTGACGAAGAAAGTAAAAATTTGTGTACATTCAATCCACGCTGTGGCAGATACAAATTTAAATGATTACTATTTGGCATATGTTCAGCTTCAGAAATTCACCAAACAAAATTAAACCTAATAATAGAAGAAGATCTAGAAGGTATTTAATGCATTATACATGATATTTCTATATGGGGAAATAATGAACAGGAACATGACCTACGACTTAAAAGTACTCCACAGAGTACGAGAAAATAATCTGAACTTCAATAAGGGGAAGTTTAAAATAAAAATTAATCAAAGAATAATTATATAGGGCATGAGTTAAGTGGAAATGGGTTGAAACCAGATTTTTCTAAAGTGGATGCGATTGATAAAATGCCAGAATCTGCAGATGTATCTTCTTTACAAAGATTTTTAGGCATTATCAATTACTAAGTTAAATTTATTTCTAATTACTATTAGTGCACCATTAAGACAGAAGCTTTAGAAAAATGTTCTCTGGCACCGCTGTGAGAAACAACAGAAAGCTTTTGAAATACTTAAAGAACTAGTACTTTTGGATGTTTCAAAGTTCATCA